CCCCCCCCCCCCCCCCCCCACTAACAACGTTCACGCACATACTCTAGGGTCCAAAGTACGAACTCGTCAACCATCGTGTTATACTCTTCCGATGGCGGCGGTCGGGGTCTGTCCCACCTCTGCCACGATAGCTGCGGCCGTTGCTTCCACGCCGCTCTCCGCCTCTTGGAGGACTATCTCTCTGTAGCGACCGGCGGACTTCTTCATGCCCTCAGAGAGCGCCAGCCGGACCGCGTTGTCCATCGCGCCCGCCTCTATGGGGGCGACGGTGGTGGTGGTGGTTGTCGTCGTAATACCCCCCACCGCGTGTCCCGCAGAACGATCCAAAGAAAGTTCTCGGGTCGTCGGCTGCTTTTGTGGTGGTCGCGTCCCTGGGACTCTCACGCCTACGCCCATGTACTCGACCTAAGAGGTAGGTTGCAGTTGTCGAAGGAATCAACAGCAGCACCCACAAGAACTCGGCGTTGATATGGCGGGAGTCATATTGTAAAAATTGGAAGACGCAAGCGCACCCATGATTCTCGATTCAGAATCCCCCCCCCCCCGAAAATATTGCGCGTACAATAACCTGTGGATTGTGGGTGCTGGAAGCCCACAAGGGGATTCCGCACCCAGAGCCTTGGGCAAAGCACGGCGTTCGAGTAGTGACGCCCTGTATCTGTAGGCTTTGAGGCTTTTTCGTGTACAGGCGAGGGGGGAAGACTGCGGATTGCGCCGTAGCTCAGCGGGGCCAGCCGTGACGGTCGCGCATAGTCGTCGCCGTGACGGTCGCGCATAGTCGTCGCCGTGACGGCCGCGCATAGTCGTCGCCCGCAGACAAGAACAAAAACTGGTTCATCATACGTAGATACATGAAGCAGACGAATTTGAGGTACCATCGTACAGATCAGGCACTCCTCTGACCCTCGAAGCTTTTCTGTAAGCTGACTTGTCTCCCGTTGCATGGTAGGCGTTTTCTCAAAGTAACGCAAACGAACGTGTCCACACTGACGCAGGAGCAACACACAGATGCGCCAGAGCAATCGGAAGGATGTGCGGGCGCGACCGATCATGCATACACCAACTGCAACCTATCACCGGAGATACGCACACGTTTGTCTCGCTAACCCTGGCCACTCCTGTGTTGACGACAATGATCATTTTTCAGCGACCGAGTCTTGCGGCCAACTGCCCCAAGACGCCCACTGAGGGCCTACCGACTGCCCCCGACTCTCCAAGGTTTCCTGTGAGGGAGCGGAGCAAGCGATGTTCTTTGGGGTACTTAGGACTTGTGTGGCTTCACTAGCGGCGAGCACAGCCAACCGTGGGGCCCAAACCACGTCATGCGCTTTTGAGAAGACGAAATCGCCGTAAGGAATCCGAACAGCATCAAGACGCCGCTTGCTCCGCCCCCTCACCGGTTTTTGTTCATTTTTGGAATGCCCGGGAAAATCCTGAGCATGCACAACTGGCATAGCAATGACCTTTTCTCTTTGCGACCCCACGTTCCGTGCTCTGTCGTGTGACGCTTTGACTGCCATCCCGTGACATCTCTGTTGGCACCGTCTTGCTTTCGACGGTCCGGGTCTCGTGATCGTTTTTTGCACAAGGCAAACCAACCACGGTGCGGGATCTACGTTGGGAGTTTTTGCGAGTTCTGCTGTAAAACGGGGCAATTGAACAGTCGTTGAACCACTCCTTTCGGGAGTTTGTGTGGGTCTCGCTCAAACAGGGACCAACTGAAAAGTATATGACCTGTTTGCATGGCACCACAAGGTGCGTTCTGTGCCGCGCCTGACTCACCTGATCGGCGAAGAAGAACTGGTCCCACGCCAGCGGGATGACCACTTGGACGGCACCAGCGCTGAACCGTTTCAAGTTGCGTTGTTTCCGACAATGAAGACCATGGCAGCATGTTGATGGTGATCATCGCGGCGATGAGGTGGACGGTTAAGGTTGATTGATTCGCAAAATCAAATGGCGGCGCTGGATTAGATACGACTCGGGTGGTTGCAGCATGACGATGGTGGTGGTCGCCGGGTGACGATTATCGCGGAATAATGACCGTAAATGTTACACATGATGAACGGTTCCGTGAACGGGATGGCGATGATGATTGCGAGATATTTTGCACGCAGCATGTGACGATGAGGAGGAAAAGACGGGGGGGGGGCGGACGAAAAAAGAAAAGAGAAGACGGACAAACGGGGGAAAGCAACACGTTTGTGTGTGTGGCAAAAGGAAACAACGTGAAGCGTCACACGCGCGAGAGAGATTTTTTGAGAATCTCAACCTTTCATGAAAAGAGGAGCAGGGCGCCACCGCACCGCATGATATTGTTGCAGTTTCAAAACACTGTGACTTCCCCCGCGATTGCCCCATGAACATACAACTCGATTTTCGACGCACTACAGACCGCTGTCGTTTCGTAGAACCTTGTGTTTGCACGTCAACAAAAAAGCAAGACAGACAGCCCCCGCCACCCGGCCGCTCAGCCCGCGCAGGGGGACGACACGACAACATAAACCGCATGCACGTGATAGAGAGAACCACCTCAGACAGGCCCCACATGCACGTAATAGAGATATCACCTCAGACAGGCCCCACATGCACGTAATAGAGATAATCACCTCAGGCAGGCCCCTGTGGTCCCGCTGCCTCCATGATGCACGACTCCTCGACACCGCGGCAGCAGCCACGTGTGCGGCACGAACGACAGCTCCCCCGCGAGGTCAAGGAGATACGGTTCCGCCGCCACGGCCGCCGCCGCCACCGCCGCCGCCGTCTCCGTCTCTGCATTCTCCAACACTTCTCCCATGATGAAGGACAGAAAATATCATTTTCATATGGTGAAAAACAACGCGCGGAGCGTTGCGGGGAAGGCAAAGAAACAAGACTGTGGGGAAGATTCAGCTGCCGCTACCTGCTAGCAGGTGGATGCGAAAAAAATCAGTGGCAAGGCGAAAACGACTCAAAGGAGGGGACCAACCGTTCCAGAGGGAAACGAGTTGGCTACCTTCTAGCATTCATCTCGGAGACGAGTGATGTATCTCCGAAACAAATGTCGCCGACTAAACTTATTCAAGTCGACGAAGAGATTCCAACTTTGGCAGAGGACAAAGAACGTGGAAATTCGAAGGACGCATTACTCCAAAGAGGTATGTAGGGCTGCGTAAGGTCGTCTTCGGCTGTTGGAAAGACAGAATCCCACTGCTGTTGGGTGTGGTATGCACTCTGAGCTCAATTTATCTTTGGACAGTGATGTGCATATCCAAGACCGATATGATGGATACACTGCCAACCTTTCGAGCAGGAGAGCGAGTCGACACGTTTTTTTCTCCTTCGGGAAATACTGCTTTTCGTCCGACCTCGAAGTGTGTGCTCTTCCGCCCTGTTCTCCCCGTCCATGAGCATACGCACACGCACAGACAGGTTGAGGATAGCATAGTATCGGGACTGGGTTCAAAACCGTAAACGGGAGCAGTGAGTAAGTACCTCGAACCGTACCCCCCGCCCCCCCGCCCCCCTTAATCCCCCTGTTGCGCGTGCCGCTCGCATCGTTCTCTCTCACCGCCACAACCCCCTCCCTGGTCTCTGCGGCAAGTGGTTCCCTCCGCAATATCGCCGCCTCCCGCCGCTGCTGCTACCATTTCCTTGTGCTGTTCTCGAGTAGAACCGTTGCCGGGCGGTGCTGAGGGTGCCAGCCTATCCCCTTTGGCAGCAGCGCCCACGGCGGCGGAGGTGGCGGCGACGGGCTGGCAAGCATTGCCACCGTCGTCTTTGAGCTGGGCGGGAGCTTGCGGCGTGGGGAGAAGGATGACGGCCGCGCCCGCTCTTTGAAGGCTCGAGGCGGCCGTTGCCACTATCCTGGAAGGGTCCTACGGCGGCAGTAGCAAACGATAAGGGCAATCACGACGGCATGGAAGAGGGCGCAGGTAGGTTGGCGACAGGAAGCACCGCGGAGGGACGGGCGGACGGGCAAAAGGAAGGGGGAGCAGTACACCCCAGCAGGGGGAACGGGGAGTCTGTCGGAGTCTCTCAACTGGAGCAGGGGGGACAGGTAGAGGCTGTCGGAAGCATCTCAATTGGAGCAGGGGGAAAGGCGGAGGCTGTTGGAAGCATCTCAACACAGCAATGAAATACCACAGAAAAAAAAACACACACACACACGAACACACGAACCCCAGCAGCCCCGGCCCCCCCAGGGTCCTTCTCCGCGGCACCTCCTTCGAGGGCGACTGTACATTCGATAGCGGACGCGATTGCTTGCCGGTCGCGAAATGGTTTGCGGGTATGCGGGGCTGTTGGGCATAGGGTGGGGTGTGGGGGGACAACTCGTGTGGCAAAAACGTATTTCACGTGCGTCGAGAACAACTGCTGACGCCGCCAATGGCACAGAAGCTCGAGCGCACGCGGGAAAACAATGACACACGCAGCGATAGACATCGCGTGTGAAGTCGCAAGGAAGAATCGCGTTCAAGAAATCCATCGCACACCCAAATGTCACACCGACGAAGAAAACGAGTGCAAAAGTATATAAAGGGCGGACTGGACACGACCAGACTCGATGCACGGCAGGCACCTGAACGAGACCGAGAGCGGGCATTGATCCCAGGCCAACGACGAAGACGGGCTTGTTGTCCGCCTCGCACCTCGCGAGGAATCGCATCAGTCGGTCCGGGGGTCGGTAGCGCGGTGAGAGTCTCGGGAAGGACCAGAAGCCGCACACGTCCGCCTGCATCGCAAATATGTGTAATAACACAACGTGCAGAGAGAGGAGCAGAGCGAAAGACGAGAGAGGCGACAGAGAGCGAAACGAACGAACACGATGTGTATTGTTTACACAGCGAAGAGGAAAATCTCGGCGGCATGGAACCAGAGCTCGCGCTTGCCCGGCATTCTGCTCGTGCAAGAACCGGAGCAAATAAGACAGGGGCAGAGAGTGAACGGCTTGCGTGTATACATGTGCAGACCGTTGTTGGCTGAACGAGTGAGGTATTCGCACGCGCACCACGCGCGCGCCACGCTCTGCAGCCCGAAATACACGAGTGTATTTGCCCTTCTCATCCACGCGACCGTGAGAAACACTGCTGTTGTTTGTTGGGCGGCATGCTGTCTGTCATGGCTACAAACGAGAAGGGTCGCAGTAGTCGCGAACAGGTCAAGGGCAGGAGGAGCAAGTACTCACAACACTTTTGTAAATGTAGACAATTTTCTAGCAGCACGCTTGGCATGTACGGAGCATCTCCATCCCGCTCACCCGTGCAGGCCCAGTACCCCGGCCTCGGCAGCACCGCTGGACTAACCCCGAACCAGGATCGGCGGTGCCCTGGGAAGACTGCTGCCACTGCCACATTTAGCAGGCAACGGCAGGGTAAGCACCGCACACACATCCCGCGACGTACCAAGCGGCATGGTACACCAGCGCGCGCGCACACAGATGTGGGGGGGGGGGGGGGGAGGCGACGTCCCGGTCAAACAATCGCCAGTATCGCGGGTGACGAAAAAAACAAATCCACGGAAATGTTCCGCCATCCAAAGGCGTATCGAGCCCGTTGTTGCTGTTGTCATCAATATCTCTTCTCTTCTAACAGACTTGAAACTGCTGTTGGAATCGTTTCGTATGTCGGCGCGTGTCTCGGTGGGTGCTCTGTGATGATATGGATGTAGGGTTAAGGCCGTGGTAACCTGCCCGTTGGTAAATTGCTTTCGAGATTTTTTTTTCTTTTGGCAAATAATGGGGGGGGGGCACGATACACGGCGGCGGTGTGAGGCCACCCCCCCCCTTACGAAGCATCATCCATCGACCCTCACCCTGCATAATTGTAGTAAGACAGTTCCGGCCACTGCCTCCTTTCGAATGCCTTCTCTTGTTCTTGGTAAACAACGTGACCTCGTCAGTTCATGCACCAGATAAACAGCTCGGCCAAAACGACCAGCTGGGATATCAAGGCAGAGAAAGGAAAGGGCGGGTACATGGACGATCGCCAGCCGAGTCAAACGGACTGTTTCTCTTCATGGCACGCTTGACGGATATCTGGTATTCCACAGAATAAACCGTACCTATAACCTAGAATTTTCCGTACACCGACGCGCCCACGATCTTGGGTCTACGTAGCAATGTGTACGAACAGGACAGGTGGGTGGCGGCCATCGCAATATCACGAGCCAGGTGGGCGTGGGGGGGTTGGGCGCCCGCTCGTCAGTTCACTCACGTCGGCGAAGAAATGTCTGGCAGTCCTCGACCTTGCCGCCATCTTCGATATCGGGGCAGAAAGAGGGGCAGCATCCACAGCTCCAGGTCCGCCCTCGTGATCTTGGATTCGACCAACCACGTGAAAGCGAATGTGGAGTACAACAGCGGTAGTGGCGCCCGCCCGACAGAGGAGGGGCAGGTCATACAGGAGGGAGTTTACATACGAAAAGACAAAAGTGCGTAAGGCATGCTGTTGATCGAGACAGCAGTGGCGGTACTGGTGCACCAAGCTTATCACAATCACGTGGGGGGCAAGAGTCACAATATACCTCGTTGCCGTTGCTGGCATCGCCATCGCCATCTCCCACTCTGCTATTGATCCTCTCCAACAGAGCTCGAGGAAGAACACGACCGAGCGCCATCCCACCGCCGCTGTTATCGTTGTCGGGAAAAACACGGCAAGCACGGTAGATCGAAACGCAAACTAAGCACGGCGCGAGCAACGCCATGTACAGGGGGAAGATGCGGCTCTGAACACTCGTAGCTGTACCACAACAGTACAGCCTTGGTGCAGAACTGATTCGTGGCAGCTAGTTTCACATTACGGTGCAAGTGTAGGCTACGTAGGGATATGCCGTACTGTTATTTACCACACATCGCTTATGCCGATGGGCTGACAGCAGACAATTTACCGCCAGCAACGCATACACAGATAAGGCAGAAGCAGCAGCAGCTCAGACATCAACCGTAATACATACGCAGAGGTTTTATTCTAGTTTATGGCACAACCATATGACACATACCTCGGTGCCACGCCTGGTGATGCGCACACGCACGGGATGCCCAAAGCGTCGGCCAAATGGTACCCGAACGCAGAGTAAAGGTTGAAAACCAATAACTGCTCGAACCATATATGGCGAGAGCAGGGGGCGCGGGCGGGGGCGGAGGCGGGGCGGAACGGGCAGCGGGGAGCACATATTGTTTGTAAGGCAACCAAGTGATGTAAACTACATCGGTGTTACCGCTCTTGTGGACAGGTCAGGGATGCTGCTCCACTACTCTCATTTCGTGGGTGCAGTAAATAGTATACCGAAGTTGCACTGGAACACGAGTGCGGAGAACGTGGCCGTTGCAGTCAATGGCCCAAACCCAGAGCTTGGAGGCTGTGTTTCGTGTTCCACTTATGACATCCGTTTCGGTCATGCCACCGTTTCTCTGGCTCCAAGCGTCGTTGACGCTTCCTGGGGGATGGAGGGGGAGGGGGGTATCACCTCCCTTGCCGACGAAGAATCGGTCAGTCAGGGGAAGGACGAGTGCGCTGCCAATCAAACGGGGTAGTTGAAGGAGCCCTCGTCATCATCCTCCTCCTCTCTGCAACACGCGACAACAGCACGCTCTGTTTTCTGCCACACGCCGGGCAGCGGCTGCCGCCGCCGCTGCCGCCGCACCTTCGGTTTGAGGTCCTCCAAAACGCTCATGCACGCGTCCAGCTCTTCACGAATGGCGCCTTCTTCATCTCCCACGTCTGCTGCTGCTACTACAAGGTCTTCGTCTCTGGCAGTGCGCTGGCCTCTTGCAGCACCGTTCGCATTTACCCGTTGCTGCGCCTCTCTTCTTTCCCCTAATCGTCCCGCAGAGGCTGAGGCATCCTCAGCATCATCATTGTTCGAGACACCAAAGAGAACGGGCACGTCGACAGGATACAGCCTCGGCGGCGGCTGGCTCACGTCAAAGGTGCCCTCCATGAGACCTGGTTTCGGTTGATGCCGCGCGCCGGGGATTGGTCGTTTGGGCGGTGAGTTCTGGGTGTCTCCATCACCGAAACGTTTCGTGAAGTCTCGTGAGGCTGTCTACGCGGCCGAGTTATTTCCACCGAAGAGGATGCCAAAGCGGTATCCTTGACTGTTGACACCTTCAAAACAACCTGTGTTGTGTGAGCGTCCTTTCTGTAAAAAGGTGCTGACGCCAGGCCGACACCAGAATGCACCGGGAGTGCGCAAAATGCCCACCTTCCAGCAGGTCGCAGTGGCATCGATGAGTGACGACTCCTGCGGCGGCACTGCTTGCGTTTCTTCGTTTTCTTCGGCGTTTGAAATCCCGATCATCACCACTGTGAGCACAACGATAAGCGCGGTCCACCCTGTCAGCGTCCACCTGTGACTGCTGCAGTTCACCTTCATCTTCATGAACACCTTGTTCGTCTTGCCGCCGGGAGCGGCCCCAGTCTACTCCTAAGGATGCAAGCGATGATGCCAGGGCGCAGAGCGGCAAACAATCACCGATGGAACCAAGAGCGAGAAACACCACATCCACGTTGGAGTCGGCGGTATCTGCCTTCAGGAGGTCGAAGGCCTTGTCTCGCGTGGCCATGCTATGGGGAAAGCACACAGAAGCATGTAGCGGGATCAGCCGCAACAGCTGGCACGCTAGCTGGCAAGCACGCAGCACGCAGCACACAGCAACTGCAGAAATGCGGCGAGATTTCACACTGTTGGCCGTTGGCGTTGGTTCTCCGGGGGGCACGCCAACAGCAGCCCACCCATACACCCCCGTTGCCTCGCGAGGCTCCGTCGCAGACTCGCAGCGTCGTACCGTCTCCGTAGCGTTGTCGCTCATCTTGCGTGTGCAGTGTTGCCGCCTCCTTATTATAGCTGCTGGTGCGCTTCGAGTCAGAATTCCTCATCAAAGACGTGCTCTGTAATTGATCAAAGCTGTTGGTGCGCTCCTAAGCGGTATTGTTCATTGCGAAGGCGCTGGGAGGGAACAAGCAAAGTAGTGACTGTTGGGGGGGGTTGTGTGGATTTGTCCGACCTGGAACCAAGAGGCAACAGGGCGGCGCACGCAGGAACACCCAGCTGCCAAAGGAGGGAGTGAGAGACGGGAACTTCTCGGAAGACATGACGATTGTGAGTAGCAAGCCGTCGTGACGTGTGCCGTATATCCACGAGTTATGGAGGACCCCTCTGCGGCTATAGAGGTAGCGGTGAAAGCACGGAATAGTGTTGGTATGCACACCGCACACCTTCGTCATGTTGCTGACAAGATTCCACCTGATGACTGCCATAGCGTGTACCTTTGATACTTTAGTCTAAGCGGCCGATCGAATCCATCGCATCGACACGTGCAACTTTGTTGAGCACGGTGCCATCTTTAGTCGTCGAGCAGGAGGTCAGAGGCGTGGACTGCCTTGTACGAAACGAAGGCTCCCCGAGGGACCGTAGTGCGCACAGCAGTTGCAGCAGCAGTCCCGTGCGGCTCTCCCCAAGGAAGTTTACAGCAGTCTGCAGCAGCAGCAGCATTGCGTGGGACGACCGGTCAGGCAGCTTAGGCCAAGCGACACATTTCCTACAATAGAACGATCGGCAGTAGTGCGGTTCCAAGGTGTTCGATGTAACTTGCTCATTATTGTGGCAGAATCTACGCAACATCGAACAGCATCCATGTGGAAGAGGTTAAAATCGTCGAGCATAGTCTAACTGTAGTTCAGTACTACCGGCGGCTGCACGAGTAGTCGCCTGTCGCGCGTGCCGTACCACGCACGCCCTGCAATCCACCGACGTAAAGAGTGTACGGCAGCATCCCTGCGCAGAGCACAGACTAGGGGTCCCGAAAGGTGGGGTCTTTCTGCCCAACGACGTGTAAATATCCGCACCATGCGGGGAGTAAGTGTAAGGGTTCGTCGGAACCTTACCGTGGCACAAGCTGGCTATCTCCGCCACTCACGGCAAAGACTTTCCATGCATCCCCTTCTATGGTCGGACACAGTTTTCAGTGGTCTTATGCATGTTCTCTGAAAATAAAGCTACATCGGACAAACGTGGAAGACCGTGCACGAACCGCACTCCCGCTGCTGCTGTGGGACCTCCCGTTGCATGTAGCAGCAATTTGGTACAATGTTCTTACACGTCCTTTGCAACCCCAGTGGACTGACTACCTGTGTGTGGACCATATAGTAGCATTGACCGGCTGTGCCGGCCGTCGCGCAGGGGGGGGGTAGTAGCAGTGCCCACGGACCACATTCAAGATACGCATGCTTCAACGTCGATGTGGCATACACGCATAGTTGCCGGTGCAGGCAGGTAATCGGGATGTGCTTGCAAGCTACTTTGGGGCGGAAACGGCGACCTAGAACCCAGCGCACGCCAGCCAAGCCCGGACCTGTAGTTTGGGGCGGAATGAGGATGTGGAGAAGGAGCGGTCGCCCGTAGTGTAAGGTCCGGAAACCTGCAACTGTAACTTCTCTAAGAAAAATGGAATCAGCGCTTCCTTGCAGGCACGTGTCCACTCTACCTGTGGAAGAGGATGTAAGCCGGCTCCCATTACCACCATACTATTAAGTATGTAGCAGGCGATTGTGGTGTTGACGTATTACCCCCCCCTTCCGCCCCTGCTGTTTGTTGTTGCGTTGCTTTGGTCTTCTTTTTTATTTCAGCTTTACTCGTTGGTCGCGAGGGGTAAGACGGTGCTCGCGGAGTTCACCTTCACCACGGGCAACTTCCCGACGATCACGCGCGTCTTGCTTGGCAAGATTGCCCCGGAGGACGGGAAGATGTCGTACGTCTACGACCAGTGAGTTTCGCGCGCACTAGTGGGGCTAGTTGGTACTAGAGCAACGAAGATGGAGATTCTTTTTTGAGAGGTTGCCTCGGTTTGGTCTACACATATCTCTGTCTCCCTCCCTCCCTCTCCCTCCCTCCCTCTCCCTCTCTCCCCCTCCCTCTCTATCTCTGTCTCTCCCGTTGTTTCTCCCTCCCTCCCTCCCTCCCTCCCTCCCTCTCAGTTGCCGGTGCTTCCGTCGTGTTCATCCTGCAGTAATATAGCAGAGCGCAAGCATGTGGGTAACATGGCTTGCGCCGACGTTGGTCGCAAACCCGATCCTCTTTCGTCCGTCCAGGGTCGTCGCCGCCCTCCGTGTGTTCTCTTGACCTTCGCTTGCGGCTATTTTGGGATTGCCGTGCGTTGCACATTCGTTAGGCGTCCCATTGCGAGCTCGGCGACACATGGTGGTGTTGAAGCGTGATTGCGTGGCTTCATCTTCTAGCGAGCAAAGCACACCGAACACAGCATCTTGTTTTTCCGTCTCGGCCCGCCTTTGCGAAGAGCAGCTTCAACTCCACACCACAACCGGAGCTGAGCTCACCCGAAATATCGATCACGCTACCTCTTCTGCGCCACCTTCCTCGCGTTCACCTCGCTGTGGCTGGCGATATTGTCTGGAATATTCGCCTCCGCGATGATGCGGGCGTTTGTGTAGTGTAGGTTTGGTTTCTCCATCTTTTCTGTTTGTCGCCGCGAAGCGATAGTCCCACTAAGCTGGACGCGTGTCGTAGCGTATGACACGTGTCTAGCTTAGTGGGAGTACCGCTTCGCGGCAATAAGCAGAACAGGTGAAGGAACCAAACCTTCACTTCCAAAACGCCCGCATCATCGCGGAGGGCGACGCCCCGGATCGGAGAGACAGATGGTCAAATGCAGGTGGAAGCATGTGCCTGCGTCGAAGTCCCCTTGACTCACCTCCTGCATGGAGCAGCGCGCTGCTGCTGCTGCTGCTGCTGCTGCTGCTGCTGCTGCTGCTTGGCGTTGCATGACGATGGCGGCCTGTGGTCGCTTTTAGCAGCACCAAGATAATCACCACTTGTTCGGGAAAAATGAAACATGCTTGGCGATGCTGCTCGCGCTCTTGTTGCTCGTCCAACATTAAAAACGTGCGTGCGCCGTGTGCGTGCCCCCCCCCCCAAAGGTACGTCTTCCACTACCGAGTAGACGACGGGCTAACTTTCCTGTGCATGGCGGACGAGGACAGCCGCCGGCGGATACCCTTCGCCTTCCTGCAAGAAATCAAGAACCGGTTTCAGGCTACGTACGGGGATAGGTGCGTCACGTGAGATTATTTTTTTATTGCTTGTTTGTTTGTATGATGGTGGCAGGAAGGCGTTAAATGTTGACGGGTTGTTTACGAGTGTTGGGAGTCTTGCCGCAGCACCACCGTCTGTTCTCCGAGTGTTGTGGCCGCGTGGCTGTTCACCGTACACGTGCCATAGCGCTCCACATTTTCTTTGAGATCCCCCGCCCCTCCTCCTCCCCCAGACGCGTACTTTGGCGTTTATGTACAAGTATGGTGCAAGTAGGAACAACAGGTTGTTGCACGGCAGATTGGTCTACATCTACATATTTGGCTGCTGACGAAGTTGCCGGGGGGGGTTGCGGCAGGGCGCCTCCTTGGCGGGAAACCGATGGCCTTGCTATTTACTGCCGCAGTCAACCGCATGAAGGCCGCTCTGATGGATGGATACCCCCTTGGTTCTTCGACAGAGGGTGTTGGGTTTTAGCGCATGCCTCTACTGTTTTGATAAATTTTTTTCTGGTTGCTCCTGTTGCTGCTGCTGTTTCGACCGCGGGCGTTTTCTGCCAGTGCTGTGGGGAAGACGCGCAGCTACAGCATTGTTGCTTCCTCTAATCCTATCGTCGCCGTGATCGCTGTTGTGATTGGTCGGGTGTGTCTTGTGCAGAGGCGCAACGGCGGCAGCCTTCGCGATGAACGAGGATTTCTCCCGGACTTTGGAGAACCAGATGGACGTCTTCAACTCGCCGGATGGTGACCAGGTTAGTTGGAACGTTAGCATCACTTTGGTGTCACCGGGATAGGTAATATTGGCTGGGCGTTTTCTAGGACAAGATGCAATCGCGGCCGCGAGCTCATGCAAGGCTTGAGTGCTTGGGCAGCTTCGCCCGCATTGCTCTTTTTATCCAGCGCGCGCCAGCCGAGAAGTCACGCGAGCTAGTTCTGATGCCGGTTCGGGCTCTTGACGCCTTAAAGTGCCGCAGCAGGCCATGTAAACGACGTTGTTGTAACGGGAACAAATAGCTCTTTACCACGTGTTGGTATGAGACCGCGGCGGTAACACCTCCTCACGCGCGCACCTGTTCGTTCTACGCGCTGTTGGTTATCTGCCGCTGCTGTTTGCCGCTCCCACGGTGTAGGTCTTGGCGACGCAGCAGAAGCTGGACGAGGTAAAGGACGTGATGGTAGCGTCTGTGGAGCTGGTGTTGGAGAGGGGGGAGAGGTTGGAGCTGCTCGTGGACAAGACGGACAACTTGCAGCAGCAGGTGAGCTCATGGCACGAGAGCATCGCTCGGCAGCGACGACGACGACAACGCGACACGCATGCTTCTCGGTTCTCGCGTTCGTCATGGGCGTTAGCGAGAAATGTGGTACTATAACAGCAGCAAGTAGCGTGTTGTGTCTATTGCTGTGCATTGTTTGGTTTAGCCGCATGGTGTTCTTCACCCTTGCCTATTATAGTGTGTGGTGGATGTCTTCGGTGACAGCAACATCGCAGGGATGATTTCGGCGTTGTGGAATTTGTGGGGGGGTGTTGATGTGTCTATTTTAAGGCCGACGACTCTAGTTTGCGGCGGACAAGTGGAATGATGTCTTTCTCAGTGAACACCAGCATGCAGCCTTCTTCATCCGCCAGAAATTGAAGGTTTGGAATGGCGATAAGCTGGCCATTGGTTGCTGCTGCCTCTCCCCCCTACAGCATGTAGCCCTTTCTCATAATCGTTAAGGCGTTGAGGAACGGACCCGTCACGAGAAACGTTCTCGAACAGAAACACATGGTGTGGTCATGGGCGTGCAGGAGCTTGGTGATGCCTGTTTGATGAGGTTTGATGTGTGTGTGTGTGTGTGTGTGTTTCTTTGATTGGTATCGACGGCTGTAACCGCCTGACCAATGCAAAGACGTCGCTCTTGCATAGCGGGGTAAATAAAACGTGAACACACTTGTCTAGTCGAAGGGTTCTACCGACAGCGGGGGGGGGGGGGGGGAGTGGGCAGGAGTTGGGACAACACTGTCCTAGAAGTACTTTTGAAGCACGAGGAGAAGACTCCAATACCACCGAGCAGCATTGCATTGATTATGTGTGCGTTTGGAGTTAACACCGGCGCGCTAACCGGCCGAGCAACGAAAAGACGCCAGTCTTGCAGGTGGATAAAAAGAAGAACGCGAATACGCTTTCTGATCAAAAGGGTGTGTGCACGCTTTCTGATCAAAAGGGTGTGTGCGCGTGAGGTGTGTTTTTGTTTTTAGCATCGACCGCGCTAACCGGCTGACCAATGAAAAGACGTCAGTGTCGGCGGGCAAAATCAAGGTCCCTGGAAGGGGACCAAGATTCGAAAAATGCGCAATGCGCTAAATGCTCTCTACACATTATTTCACAGCTCCATACATCACAGCTCCACACAGTGTGTGTGTGTGTGTGTGTTTTCGTGCCATGTAGTCTAGGCGCCAATCTACACCTTAGGGTGTATGTTTTGATCCACCAGGCGGAGTCACGCAGGAGGCAGGCCAAGCAGAAGTTTCTTCTCGTATATTTCTAGTTCTCCGATTTTACGCTTGATCGTGAGTGTCGACTGGGTGATATTTTTAGCCCCGTTGGCACTGCTCTCGCTTACGCTACCCTGCCCACCAATGCAGGTGTGAGCCCCCCCCCCCAACCCGACCCCACCCACCCACAGTCTCCCTTCCGAGTATCACCGAAAACGAGCATCGTTTCTGAACCTTCTCGTTGTCTCTGACAGTGGGCACAAGGCCAACCGTTTTCCTCCACTGCTGTGCCTATCGTTTCGTATTCGGCGTTATCGTTTTCGTCGTACTGGTTGTCAGGCGTTTCGATTCGAAAACACGGCGAAACGGCTGAAGAACCACCTTTTCTGGAAGCGGGTTCGATTCTACTCCGCGGTGGCGTTGGGGGCGCTCCTACTCCTGTACGTCGTTACGGCCGTCGCTTGCGGACCGACGTACGCGAACTGCAAGAGCTCCTGATTTTTTTATTGTTTTTGTTATCGTTGTGGAAAATGACCTTAACCGACCGTGTCGTTGGTGATTAGCTTAACTTGACCGTATCGTTTTACTTTGTTTGGGGGGTCACGAGAGAGAGAGGGGAGACGGGTGTGGGGTAAAGGGTCACGTAATTATAGCCTTGTTCGGGTAGAAATCTATCTGCTTTTTAACTTCGGGGGGATATTGGCGGTTGTTGGGTAGTCAGAGACAGGAGATTGCCAGGGAGGTGGGGCAGCAGCAGCAGCAGCAGCAGCAGCAGCAGCAGCAGCAGCAGCAGCAGTGGGAGGTCGAGTTGCGAAAAAAGCAGGCTCTCTTTTTTTGGAACGTGTAGTTTACTGATGCTGGTACAGGGCGCAACGGCACTCGTACTTCGCTCACCGGTTCTTCCATGTTTGATCAGTCAGTGGGGGAAAACAACAGGGGATACAAGGGGCTTCAATGGGGGGTGCAGGTTCTAATATTTCGCGAAAAGTCGAACCACCAACTTGTTGACAACCGGTTTTCTCGGGCGTTGGCGCGTGCTGTAGCATTGTTTGCGTGCCTTCTGGGTCGGCTCGCTTCTACATAAGCGCTCCACTCACTCATGTCCCCGGCGCTGGGCTCATGTCTACCGGAATTCAACCACGAGATGGGTTCTACGGTTGGTGTGTCTCCCTTGTGTTTTTTGGCTTTTTTTTTTCAGTGGCCGTGGTCACGCATTTTTTTTGTTAAGCGTGGGTGGGATCGAGTGCCTCTCGATTTTGTCAGCACCTCAGTACTCCTGTACCGCTGCTGCTTGGTCGTGGCGACTATGCAAGGTGGTGGCAGTCTCCGTCCGGAAAGTCTTGTGTAGCTACTTCTGTCTCGTTGCGGATGTGAGTCTCTTCGAGGGGTTTGCGTAAGATCATTCAGTGGTGGGTGGACCTCTCTGCGCGGGGGAGTTGTGATTACATGATTTCCCCTGTAGTGGCGCAGGCGGAACAATGCAGGGGTGTGTTTTCGTGGGCCCCTTCGGCGATTTTGCGGCTGCATACGGTAGGCACGATTGTTCGCTCCAGATAAACTCCGTCCGCACCCACCTCGGGGCGATTGATGGCGGCGAGATCGACGGCGGGTCATGCGTGGCGTACGTTTCGGGAAGGGTGTTGGGGACTGATTCTTGCTTCTGCAATGAAACAAAAAAACTGCGATCAAGGTAGAGAACAGGTGTTTCTCCCGTGGCGGTAGTCGTAGTCATTGGGACGTGTTTGAACATTTTGTTTCATGCACAAGATATCGGTGAACATTGAGTGAAAACTGTGTGAAAATTGGACTTTCGGTGAACATTCCGTGAAACCTGTGTGAAAAATGAAATTTTGGGAAAGTTGCTCCGGGAATGAAATCGGAGGGGTTTATTTCATCGGCTGCACACCAAGAATAGTTGTACGCGACAATTTTCACGCCGGCGAGTGGTCAGCGGTTGGATACAGTTCAGAGAGCAAAGGCAAATCGCCGCTTACCAGTAGTTTTTTTTTGCGGGAGGGCCAGGGATGCTGAGATGGGCGTCCTTCCTGTGCGTACTCGTGTTTCGTTCGAATTCCGGTGTCCCTGATCGGCGGTGTGTCGTTCGCGAGCGTTGTCTGCTGGCAGTTTCTTCGTAGAGCGGTTTCGACGTAATGTGTGCTTTGGCGTGTTTTTTTATAGCTCACACGTGCGTGCGCGCGTACATCCATCTTGTTGGGTTTCGGCAGAATTATGGCTATCCCACCGAGGGTTTCCGCTTGTGTACATGGAGTCTTCTTTCACGTTGTCGGCGTTGTTGTATGTAGGCAGATGCACCGTCGCCCCATTGTTTGCTTGATGGCCAGGCAGACATAGAGGGCGAAAAACGAAACGTGTAATACCGAGAGTAGATATTTATGGAGATAGATGGAACAGGGGGAGAAACGTGAACTTTTTTGTGTTGCATGCTGAATTCCACCCTCAAGTTCGCGGGTCTTCCATAGATGCACTTTTTTTGCCTAAGTTCGTGTGCAAAAGTACGCCACCAACAACGTTGAGGGCCTTTGGTTGGTGATGAACGACCCACAGCCCACGCGAGGGTGTCACCGGAACGTCCCACGCCCCAGCTTTCTGGCTCAATTCTCAAGGAGGAGACTACGTCCTGAACGTACATACATTTGTAGTTTACGCACTTGGTGCGCTGGCCTCTACGATTGAGCGCAGGTTGGATTGCAAAATAAAATTGTTCTCTACGACAAAACAAAAGAGAACCACTAACGGTTCCTAAAGAGAAAAATGAACGTGCACCTGGAAAACTGTTCTACTAGCCGTAGTACATGGGTAGATAACGTACATAGTCTACAGCAGTAGTCTAGCCTTTCTTCTGCCTCGCCTTTCGACGCATACTTCATGGACACACAAGTACGAATCTGAGTGAAACCACCGCCACCGGAAACCACGGGTGGCGAAACCTGGCAAATTCACTCGGGTATGCCGATGCTGCAGTAGACTCGGGCATGTCATCATCCTACTAATATTACGAGTTTTCCACGGGTCACACCACACCGAATTCTTCAAAAAAAAAAACAAAGACTCTGTCAGGTAGTCGGTTGCTTTTCTTGTGTGCCGTCGAAACGGCACGATCATCGCAGTGATGGTCCCGTCCTACCCCGCCCTGCTCCCCGTGACCCAATTATGTGAACTTGCTGTAAGGCAATGTCGGTTTGCCACCAATCAACGGTGAGTGGGCCCGATGTTATGCCACGTGCGAGCTGCTGTTCTTGTACAGACTACAAGTACCCTTGGGGAAAAAAAGAACTTATTTTCTGTCTGTAACCGTCGAACTTTTTCTTTCATCGAGCCGTCGGCGAGCCCCGGAACTCCGCATCTCCGGAGCGGGCACACACTGGATCGTAGCACTACTATGTACACACGGGTACGTCTCGCACATGAACATATCTTGACTCTTCCAGACAGACCGGGAGAACAGCAGACGATCAGCAGCCATGGGAGACTTCGATGCCATCCCGCCCGAAGGATCGTCCAGCAACGCTAGCAACGGCAACGACGACCGCGACGACAACAACCATGGCGCCGGTGAAAGCTGCAAGTACTTCAACAAATAGGGCATGGAGTTAAAAGCATTGCAGTTTGATTTGGTCTGGACCGGATGGCGCGGCACTCGCACTTTCGGTGTATCAGAACGGCTTGAAGTCGAGCCTGTCGTGTCGGTGCTGACATTATTGCGAAAACTACGGTACCGTAAAATAATCTTGCTTGCATGGAACCCAACAAACCTGGCCGACAAAACTTGGGTGGCTGGCGCACAATGAGTCTACCACGCGCACGAGTATTGCCAAGACGTTTATGCCAGAACACACCACAATGATACAAACAATGCTCGAAGAGAGAAGAGAGAGACAAAAGGAGACAGAATGACAAACCTGCCGACGAAGACAGAGGCGACGAACGAGAAAACCATACATGTATCACCATTGGAACTGCTGTAGGTAATTTACCGTTGTATTATGTAGCACCGATAGATGAAATACAGTACCAGGACTGTACAATAATTCACGTAGTTCAACCCGGCTATCTATGCACACGTGTGTGTGTGGCCAACAAACAGGCGTGGTCGAGCCCGAGTCCGAAGCTACTGCGTTGAGCGACGTGCTCCAGATCGACGACGAAAACGGTGGCGGTGGGGAGTTCAACTTTGGCCACGACGGCAACTTCGGAACCGGACAAGACGACGGCGACGACGATGGCGGATTCCACGATGACGGAGATCGGTCACCGCCGGGAACGAACTCGAGCGGTCATCGAAGGTGGCAAATTCGTGCCGTCGGACAGGGCTCGACATCGCCTATGGAAACTCCGTCGACCGTTTGAGTCCTTGCTTGCTTTGTGTTGAACAGGGCTTGAACTACATATACTGGGGGCGATCCATCAGGCTGTAAACAAGTTCGTGCCTTCGAGCCCACCTCTTGTTCTAGTATGTCGCGTTCGGTCGTGATAGTCTCAATGTCATATATGCAGAAGCCGCGCGAGGGTTTGGACGTACGAGATCAAAGGAGCTATACATCTACAGCTTTCCTTTGAACCCGGCACCAATTGGAAGTCGGTTAGCCGACTCGTTGCATCGTCTGTGTTCCGTCCCGAAACATTACATTCCATCGTTGCGCGCGCGGCTTCTCTACATGCGGGTGTGTGGTTGTGTGTGAAGGTTTGGGCGTGTTGACACTCCACTGCGGGTGGAGCCGCCGCCGTCCTTCAACGCGCCTGCACGACCCGTGGATCAGACCCAGGACCAGCAAATCAAGGCGAGGCCCCACACTCACCACTCGACCGGTGTCTGTGTCATGCTGAGGACGTGAACATGAAGCACACTCATGACTCGAAATTGTTACATCATTCGCCGGACCAGTTACATTGCGCGTTTCTTCACACGGGGGCTGATGATCCCGCTTAAGCAAGCCCCTCTGATCGTGTGCATAGTTTTAGGAGCTGTGTTTTACCTGCGTTGCCATGTGAGCGCTTTTAAAAGCGCGAATAGTACTACCCCCATCTTGCCTGGGCGTGGTGGAGCCGCCCGTCAACGGTACTGTGATGCTTTGCATGCCTCAGCGGTTAGACCATCGACCACGGGTCCTCGAGAGGACGGAGCATTTACAGGGCCTGTCAACTGTAGGGCTCTCTTTGGCAGACCAACTGCCATATCATTCTTACCTCCTTGGTTTCCTTGCCCTGAAACAATCCGTTCTTCACCTCTCCGGTGCATTGTACTCGTTGATGCTACCCTATCTCCTCCGTAAAAAAACGTCACAGACTCTTTCTTGCTCATTCGATAAGAGGCGTGTTACTTCCATACTACAGAGGACAAGACATAACCAGTACACACACCCAATACAATTGTGTAAGAGCAAACAAAACTCTCCTGACGACCTCCCCCCCCGCACGACGAAAACCAATCCACGCGACAGGCGTCGGCCTTCTCGCCGGCGGCTTTCACGATGCGGAAGTACGAGATGCCGTCCTCGTCGCACGGCCTCCTCGGATCGAAAGACTCCGCCGGGGGGTGAGTGGAAGCACGGCCATCACACCGACCTCGTCTGATCCCCCCCCCCCCGCCTGCGAAAGTTGTTTAGGGCCGAGGTGAAGAGGTAGGGTTCTTCTGTAGAGGATAAGGATCCCCAATGGGCCGGGGGTGGGTAGTTTGTTGCTTGCTTCAGATATGAACGGTGGGTGGGAGGAGTCGGATGGCGGGGGCGGACGAAGGGTAAACTACGGTAAGAAAATGTGGGTATCGGAGTACTACTGTTGTTGGCAGGCAACATGGTGTGTTTCGATCTCAGCGATCTTGTACAACCTAGAATGATACGTGGCTGCGACTAACGATTTTTGCTCCTCCTCGTGCGTCGTTCCCTCTTCACGAAGACACTCTCGTACTACTCTCGAACCCCTTCTTCTTCTTGAGTAGAAGTTTCTTACTGATCCGCATGAACACCACCCTCCCCCCCCAAAAAAGAAAACTTCCCTCAGTTTCGATCACCAAGCCTATTTACTCTACAACAGAATAACATCTTCTTAATTCCCGTACAGGTCGAGCACTGCATCGCTCGTGGGAAGCCTCCGTCAGCGGCAGGAGCCAACAAAACGAGACCTCACGGAAAACCATGCCTCCTACCGAATAGCGGTAAGACACACACCATTGCTACTGCTCTGCCCCTGATTCTTCTATGTAGACACGTGCCGAACGGTGGTTGAGCTCGATGAAAAAGGTTATAACCCGAACATCGGGACCCAAACCTATTCTCGCTGCTTTAATAGTACTATGTAGTGCCCGTGGTAGATGCGCACTGCGCCGAGACCGATCACAACTTTCAAACGGGAGGTTAGTATTATCTTTCCTGCCGGCATTGAGGTGCGGCGATACGCAAAGGACCATATTTTCTGTTGAGCTGTTGTGGTTGGCTGGAGGCCCGTCAAGTCGTTATTCATGGTGTTTTTCAGTTGTTGCCATGCGAACCACGTTTCGCCGAGGCGTATTTCACACAGGAAAACACCTTCTTCCCCATCGACCATGATGGGCGTCGTCCGGCACAAAGCTTGTGAGCAAAAGGCTCGCAAAAACGTTTGCAACAGAAGCCATACGTGGTGCACAACAATGACAGCAGCGTTTCAAGAACGGCCGGCAACTATGTACTACTCGCCGTGGCACCGTCAGCCTCAACCCAACAACGTTTGATCGAAAAGCCGGAGAATAGCGCCACCACACTGCAGGCATCACCTCCCCTCCTCGCCAAACCGAGTCTCGCCGATTTTTACACCGATCGATCCGGAATCGAACCCAACTGCCAGATGAGCGACTACCATATGCTGGCGTTCTCCAGCCAGAGATCGGGGCGGCACGAGATGGAAGGGCTGGCCTACTACTCCGCCGGGGTGACTATGGACAGCATGGGGCAGTACCCGAAGGCGCTGGAGAACTACAAGAAGTTTCTCGCGGTCTGCAAGTGAGTCTTGTCGTGTAACCGACGCATCCAACCAGGCTGCCAACAACGACGACGACGACGACGACGACGACGACAACTACAGCCACAAGAAGAATAGAACATACTAGAATAGAGGCCCCCACAAAAACAGCACAAACTAACGACACCAACACCAGCCTCCCCACGCCGGTTGCAGCTGTTGCTGTTGCTGTTGTTGTTGTTGTCGTTTTTGTCGATGTTGTTGCTCGTCTTCGGGGGCTGCGCTTACGTGTCGGTCGAGCCTTTGACTGTAGTTTGTTGTCCACCTCCAAGACCCCGACACGATGCGGCACCGGCAGGGAGAAGAAGAGTGCTCAATGAAACAAGACATTTGTTTTGGAAAAAAACTCAAGCTGACCTCTCCTCATGATCGTCCATGCACGACATGAATGATGATATATATGCAAACATTGCATCTGTTGTGCATCCACTGGTGTACACACCAGGTTCGATCAAGGTTGTGCATCTTCGGGAGGCTTTCCGGCTGCTCACGTGACGAGAGGATTACCCGCTCTCAGCGAGAAACCAACACCGATCGTAATTCACGACCAACCCGCTCCCCCTACCCCCCCCCCTCTCCGACAATGCCTCGATAGCGATTAAGAGTGCTTCAGAAGAAAGAAATCGATTTCAACGCTAGCTAGTTCGTGACGCAAAATATATATATTTTTCCTGAACGTATAGGGGAAAAGACGTTTCTTGAAAGGGGTACTGGCATTCCACGGAGGCGGCTCTCAAGTGCAGCCCCCCCCTCCCCCCTGCGTGTCATCTCTCCCCCGTCTCGCCGCCACTAAAGGACGCTGAAAGACCCGTTCATCGAAGGCGTGTGCCACAACTGCATGGGGGTGGACTACATGCTCACGGCGTGCCCACCGGCGTCGAACATGCAGGTGAAATGAGAGTGCTCATGGTGGTGTGTCCAGGTTGTCTTGCTCTTGTTGTGCTGGCTGTTGTTGTCTCTGTTGTTGTTGTTGTTGTTGTTGTTGTTGTTGTTGTTGTTGTTGTTGTTGTTGTTGTTGTTGTTGTTGTTGTTGTTGTTGTTGTCGTTGTTGTTGTTGTTGTTGTTGTTGTTGTTGTTGTTGTTGTTATTGTTATTGTTGTTGTTGATGTTGGGTGGTGGTGGTTGTGGTAGTGTTGTTGTTGTTGTTGGCAGTGGCAGTGGCGGCTGACAACGAGCGCTAGACGCAACTAAGGGAAAAGATGCACGCGCTGTCAAGCCTACCCCCCTTGAAACGACCGTCAGAAACGCAACGAACGGCACTACTTTCTCGGGTGTATCCAGCCTACAAACCAATCCACGTAGTAGATAGCAATTAACCGCAACGTGACGTCCCTTGGACCGAACGATAACATTCTCTCGTTCGTTGTGTTTGCGTACTGGTTGTTGTGTGTGTGATGTCTTCGTGTCACAGGAGAACACGACAGGGCTGCCAGCGAGAGCGGTTGCCTTGTTGCGAAAGGCGTTGGAGCACCACGAGGAGCACCTAAAGGTGATAAATAGATAACACCACAAGACACCGTAAAGAAGACGAACGATTGGAGGCGACTCTGCGCTACAGGAGTACTAGCAGAGACGAACGGTGGTCGTGCGTTTCAAACGGTTGCTCGCGTGCGAAGTCAACGGCGAACCGGCCCAGGCAAAAAGTAGACAACGAAACGAGTTTCCCCCAGTAAACCTTCGCCCCTTCCTCTCCATCCCATGTCCACCCCATTCGACTCCATCATCCCATCACATTCCGTGAGTCTGATCAACACTTTTGGTACGTCCGGGTTGACGTACTGTACGCTGCTAACGTACACGTGAGGGTAATCAACCCCGTCATCCCGTCGCATTCTTTGATCCCGACTGAAACGTATGGTACGTTCGAGTTGACTTACTGTGCGCTGCTAACGATTTCAAGGGAGCGGACGACGCGGGGTCTGGCGTAGCCCACTCCAACATCGGGCTGTGCCACGGCCTGATGGGAGACTACCCTAGGGCCGCCAAACACCACCAAGAGGCCCTGAGGGTGGCTCTTCGTGTCCAGGTATTCGTTCATTTCGTTCGGGAAATTGTCCTTCTTCTGTTTTTTTCCTTCGCGAGAAGCTATTTTTTCTTGCAGTCAGCGTGTCTCTCTGTAGCTTGCTGGCGTGTGCTCGCGTGGTGTGCGTGTTGAATTAATCTCTCCAGGTACGTACGTCATTCCTATATGTAGATAGATAGTAGCGGTATATTTTTGGCACTCACTTTTCCACTTACCTTTGCTGTTTGGGGACTAGCTGCACTCGCCCTTTCGCCCAAACGCCTATTGTACACCACGAGAAAGAAAGGGAGAGAGAGAGAGAGAGAGAGAGAGAGAGAGAGAGAGACCTCCCCCCTCCCTAGCGACCCCCGATCCCACTTCGACTCTTTTCCCGCCTGACGAAGAGTGCGAGCGCGCAGAGCGTGGCCGCCGGCAACCTCGGCACCCTGGCCGCGCGGCAGGGGGACATGCAGACAGCGCAGGCTTGCCTGGAGCAGCACCTCCAGCTGGTGCAGCAGCTCGGGGACTGGCAGGGGGAGATAAACGCCTGGTCGAAGATGGCGCAGGTGGCAGCAGCAGCGGCAACGGGAGGACGAAATGGAGGAGGAGGAGGAGGAGGAGGGGGAGGAGGAGGACAAGAGACTGAATCAGTTAGGGAGGGGAGCGGTGGGGGCCGTGCTGGCGGCGGGAGTCTCGCGCGTGTTGAGATCGGTCCTGAAAACGGTGCCGACAGGTGGGGGAGGATGGCAGGGGCCGGAACGGGGGCCACGGAGGGGCAAGAGGAAGCTGTTGTGAGGGCGCTGTGGTGCTTCGAGAGGGCGGCGGCCTTGGCAAAGACTCACGATAAGGTAGAACGCGTCTAAGACAGCTTGAGGGCCTACACGTGTTAAAAATTATGCGGGTTTCCCGCGCAGAACTTTGTGCATGATGCGCGTAAGGGCACATGTGCCCCGTAATTCGTTTCGCTCGCCGGCACCTGAGCTTGTGGATGACGAAGATTGTGATCGATTGTCTACAGACTGTTCTAGCTTCGCACGAGCTACAGCAGTTCACACTAAGACCGCGCCCAGGTTGCCTATCCAGGAATGAATGAGTTCATGTAATGTGGTTCCAGGGGTGGGTGGATTAAAAGTGAGGGTGAGTAAGTACTATGATCGGGGTTAGGCAACGGGGGTCAGCGCATTTCCTTGTTTAGCTCGGGTCTACGGAGGCCGCGTCACGCAAGACCGTTGTCACACTCAGGCTGTCGATTAAACTACTATGATGGCGTTGCCAACGGCCACCCCCCCCCCCTACCCCGTCAGGGCAGAATTGGGGATCCAATCCCTACGGTCGGGAAGAGACGCAAGGAAGCTGACATGGCAGTATCGCATGTGCGGGATGGGAGAGGAGAGGTTGCCGAGAATAATATGGGAGGCGAAGTGGGCAAACAAAAAGAGGGGTAGACAACCCACGGAATGGGTCAAGGTTGTAGAGGACGTATGGAAGGGGTTAGAAATCGACGAAGATGAAACGCTGGAAACGGAGGGTCTGCAGGGGTTCAAGGAGAAGATATTTGTTGCTTGTGCCGAGAGAGAAAAACAGAATGTAAGGAAAGAAACCAAGGATACGGAGGGTCTAGAAGTGTACGGAATGTTGAAAGAAGGAATAGGGTTCAAGGATTACCTACATGGACCAATGGATGCAGGGACAAAGCTTAAGGTCAAATTCAGGACCGGGGGCACAGACCTTCGCGAACGTCGACGAAGACATAGGACGGTAGACGACGAAGACGACAAGTTCAAATGTGATTGCGGCTTCGAATGCGAAGACCGTGTTCATGTAGTCGCGGAATGTCCGTGGTACGAAGAGGAGAGGGAAGTGTACATGACTGAGCTGGGAAAAATACAAGGGACGTACAGGGAGATGTTTGAGGCATGGAATAGAGAGGAGAGGACGGTAGCTGTACTGGGGAGTAGGAAGTGGTTTGAAAAGGCGGGAAGGGATATCGTTAGGATAGACAGACTAGGGAAGACATTTCTGAGCCACCTTTGGCAAAGTAGGAAGGAACGATTGGCCATCGGTGATCGGTCCTGTGCGAACAATGCTCCGTCCTCTCGAGGACGCGTGGTCAATGGTCTAACCGCTAAGACATGCAAAACATAAGAGTACGCCCCCCTCCTACCCCTCTTTTCATGCGTCCTTTCTTCTTGGCTTTACAATTTCTTCTTCACGTCTTTGCTCACCGCTTGACGTTCTCTTTACCCCCAGGTGAGCACCTTGAAACGGCTGCACTGCGACATGGGCGTCGTTCGAGGGAACGCTTCCATGGACGACTACTTCCGCTCGCTAAGGAAGACCGCTGTTTGAGAAGGCTCGCTCTTTTTCTAGTTATCGCGGAGAAGGGCTGTTCTCCGCAAGGGTGAAGTAAGAAGCACAAATCCCTGTGTTTACAGGTGGTCGCGTCACCCATCATCGGAAAAACTGGTCGATCTTGAATTACGACCAACGTTGAGGAGATCAATTTTCCACTAGGATCGTGGTAAGGAAGGGTTGATTGGTGGTTGTGTACGTAGTCTTCACCAGAACAGGACTCCACGATCCTGGAAGTCCTCACAAACGTAGGAGCGCTGCGGGGTCTTACAGCGATTCAGAGGGAAGGTGGGCTAGCTTTAATATTGAGCTCACGGTGTGTGTGTGCGTGTTGGTGCGGCGGAAGGCAATTGGAAACGACGGAGAACGTTTCTTGGACTCGGCCACACTATGTAGTGAGACACGTAATGATGTACGGGGGCAATAAACGCCACGACATACGTACATTCCACAACACACCCACATGACTTTCAGCAAGGATCGAGATCCTCGCGCTACTCGTGTAACGAGTATGTAGCGTCTATCAAAAGAAGTTCAGACATTGTTGATCTCTCATGTGTAGATGAGAAACAGCAGACTAGAGGCCGAAAATCGTACTTCGTACGAAACGAGTTTAATCACGTATGATTTCAAACTGTGTCGGAAGGCTAGAAAAGGGGACACCCCATCTCATGAGAGCTTTGTTGAATCTCTTCCTGCTATGCATATATATGTCCATCATGTAAAACGTGAGGTGGAGAAACATGCAGAGCATGTGCGGGGCGGGCGCGCGAAGTATGTTTATGCCACCCAAGGGATTCAGAAGCCGAAAGCAAACCATTAATCTAGACTATGTAGTCGGCGCAAAATAGTCTAAGGGTCGGCGCTGACTAATCTAACGGTTTGTGTGATTTCGGCTTCTAACAAGGTTAGACGTGGGGTTCGAGACCCAGGCTTAAGCGATTTTTCTTCAGACCCTACAGCAGAATCTCTCATTTCGGCTTTTAAGATGGTCGTCCTTCGATCCCCCGCCCCACACCCTATTTCCCTTGTACTCAGTATCAGTCCTTCTGAGCGAAGGGGCATCGTCCATGCGAGAAGACACAACACGGGAAGGCGACAACGTCTCCCTACGCCATCGAAGAGCTCGTTTTCTTCCCATCATTTCATCGACCAGCATAATAAAACAAAACGAAAAAAAACAGATTTCGTCATTTAATTATTGTTGTTAAAAGAGACGGATGTTATTTCTTCATTATTGTTGTTAACATTTATGGATATATATGTTGTTTGTTTCCGTCTACTACACGTTGTGGGTGATGCCCGATCTTCTCTTCCTCTCAGCGATCTTCTTAACCCTACGTTGATACAGAGAGGGAGAAAGAGGCGGCTAAATATTTAGCAGTGATCCTCCACGCAACGCTTATTCTGCTGTTCTCGTCGGCTTGATTTCTACCGTTGTCGCCGACCTCACGCTCTCTCTCTACCTCACCCTCCGCCTCCCTGCATTGGACCCTCCTGTATGCTCAGAGTCGACGACACTACGCTCTCGCTTTCGCTCGCGCCCTCTCGATCCGTCCTCAGCATTCGATTCCTCGGGCATGACAAGCCGACGACATCATCATAACTTCACTCCCATCTCCCTCTCTCTCCCTCCCCCTTGCTCCGCACTATTATTCGCTCTTCGTGCATGCAAACACGACAGACAACCACCTTTAGTTACGGCGAAACAAACACGGCACAAAGAGCAATTGCAAGTAGCAACTCGAATGCAGCGAGACGACTGATGGTGAGCATTGTGGTCTACACGCCGGCAGCAGCCTGATGCTTGTTGTACCCTAATGCACAACAACCAGGCGCGTTTGTTTTCTCGACCGCACGGTTAATACGACAAAAAAAGCAATAAAGATTCGGAAGCAACTGACTGCTGTCGGCACGCCGTGCGTGGCTGATGATCGATCGTCATCGTGTAGCGCCTCCGAATCACCTCTTTCGTGCATGTCGCAACTACCGAGCGCAACAATCATGTTAGTTCGGACGCGAACTCCAGCGGCAAGGCTAACAATAAAACGACGAAATAACCCCCCCTGTAATGCAGCGGCCTCAAAACTGTGCGTGTACAGCAGCAACAGAATCCAGAATCTGTTGTCGCGAAATTGACAAATCACGGCGTCTACCGCCGCCTGGTATTTCCGTCAACTGGCCTCAACATGCATCATGCCCACGAAGCGCAACTCGGGCGAACGGCGGGAAGAGCCATCAACCGTATCTAAACCGTTGGTTGATAGTTGCAGCAATAATGATCATCATCATCTACTTTTTCTGCAACCGCTACTGCCTTGCTGCTGCTGCTGCTGCTGCTGCTGCTGCTGCTGCTGCTGCTGTCGTGCATAAAATCACAAATCCGAGCCCCCCGCCCCTGTGGACGGTAACCAATGGTCCCTCACGGGG